TACATCATCACCATGTTTCAAAAACTATGTCTAAGAAAATTGTAAATAAGTCGTTTCTTACGTTTGTTTTCCTCTTCTAAATTTTGAATAATGAAAAATTAATTTCTAAACTTATGTATTTTTTTTCGATTTGTCGACGTAGCACGTTATTTCAAGCGTTAATTATTTCAATTTCAATATTCGAAATGAACCTTGTATGTCACATTGTAGAACACATTTGATTTTGTTTTTTCCCTAAAAAATTTTTCATCTTGAAGTAAATGAAACGACACCCAGTTATGAAAACCTCATTTTCAGTTTTATTTTCAATTTATAATAATTAAACTTATAATTGGAATGTTACAAGAGACAGATAAAAATAATATTCAATTCAAATATGATTTTGACCATTTTGCTTTACTTATCTAGCCACAAATTTCTCTAAAAATCATTAAGTTTTGTTTATTTTCCAATGTTTCTGGGCATCATTAACTTAGTATTATAGTAACTCGTACATACATATTGAGGAAACGTTTCATGGAAGTCACATAAGTTTTAAGTTGAAGTTTTGGCGGTCTCCCCTCCTCATTACAGACCGTAGCAATCAGTGTTAAATGCGGTTAAATATCGTAGCTTAGGTAGAATATGTGAATTCTACATTTCAGCCCCAACGGGTCTGCACTAACAAGCTTTTTCAACTGTTCATGAGATATTAAAGTCTGAAAAAAACCGAAAATTCTAGCATCTTTTATGGGATAAGGGTGATTTTTGTGGACTTTAATATCTTAGGAAGAAAAACATTGTATTTAAGCTGAAATTTTCATGATATTTTACTCCTAAATAAACTTATTTGTTGACATAATTTCAACCCAAAATATTATATCATAATGTCAAAAGCTAAAATTGCAGTAAAATTTCTACAAGTTTGGATACAAGTCATTTAGAACATTTAGCGTTTTCAGATTTTTGCTTGTCTCACTGGAGTCTATATTAGACAACAGAGTCTAAACTCAAAAGCAATCGAGCAGTTGAAACTATTCCGAGTGTGAATGTGTTTTTAACTTATAGGAGAAATACATTTTATACTGAAAACAAGAAATTTTGAGCGTCATAGTGACGACCTAAGAAATGTCTCTAGGTGTTGAGGCGATCTTTAGTGGTAAAAGTAGTAGAATTTAAAAAAAAAACAGCCTATTCAGATGAATCTAGATCCAATAAAAAAGAAGATGTTAATAATCTCACGAAAAACAAAAAGGTGTCACAGCGCTACGAGGTTTGCTTTGTCTGTTTTATTCTACGAGTAACAACAATATCTAGATGAAACATCTTCTTTTACACTTTTGAAAAGTATGTTCGATGCTCTACAAAAATTTGTTCCCGAGATGCATTTCATTCTGAGATCAACTTTCTCAAGAAATTAAAACTTAAGTAAGAGTACTTCAAATTCAGAGTCTTGTTATGTAATAGTAGTAGTACGTAACACACAAACCTTTTTATAGAAACTCAAGAATTTTACGCACGTAGAAACGTCATTTTTATATCATGAATAAAACATGATGATGAAATACGGTAAATGGTATTTTGAGCAAACTTTCTAGCTGTCACAGTTTTGAAGATAATTAATAAAAAGTGTGTCCAAAAAAGTAACAATATTACGTTTGAATAAGACGTTTCACTCAAAACAAGATATTTTTGAGTAAAATAAAAAAAATAATAGAAACTTCTCTCAAATGATTCAAGATTTAAAAAATACACCTTTTCTTTTTATTATTTTTGAAACTTCAAGCATGAGTAGATTTTTGTAAGACCATATATTTTTATATTTGAATTTTGGACTGAGAAAAGTAGGATTAAATCTTGAAAGGATAAACTCTTTTCTTGCTGGCCTAATTTTAAAGCGTAAATCCAATAAAACAATGACAAAATAGAAAATAAATGACAATAATTATCAAAATTCTACTTTTCTTGTGTCGAAAAGTTGTTCACTAATGTTGACTTTTGAATTTGAAACAACCTCAAATTCCCCTATAGCTTTTTTTATAATGACATAGTCTTAAGAGAATCTCAATGTAAAGCATAATTGCCTATCAATAAGTTCAAACTTTAGTCTAGTTCAATTTATGAAACTGAAATTTTTTATTATCAATCAAAAAAATAATATGTTTTTCATTAGGATTAATTATCGCTGAAAATTGCAGCTCCGGAAAACGAACCTTGCGAAGCCCGGAGTGAGAGCTAAGCATAGATTTCTCTTAACGAATATTTTACGTTTCTCAAAAAGGATAATAACTTATAAGTAAAAATATTCAGCATAATATTGTGTTACTTTTTTGTCTTGAAGTCTTCGTCATGATGTTCGGCTTGCCCACAGGTAACGCAGTCACGTTTTGTCAACTTTCGATCCAAGTTTCTTAGTAACAACAAAGCGTAGAGTCTTCAAATTTGCAGTACATGTGTACATAATAAAACACTTCAAGATCTGTGAGTTTCATGCAAATTGATTTTGTGGTTCATTCACTTTTTATACTAAAAATACATGCCGGTAATGCACTCACAAAAAAGGCTCTCCGTCGTTTGGGTGATATGGAAACTTTCAAAATTTCTGTGAATTCTTGAATTTTAAATACATCGACTAAACTGTAATTTATAGAGAATAGTTAGGCCTATTAATGCGAAAAAATAGTTTCGAAATTTGTAGTGTTGCTGAAAAGTTATACTATAAATATTGCGATAATACACTCACTACTTTTCGTGTTCTGACCATATATTCTCGAGAACGTAGTGCTTTCTTTTCTACTTGCTAGAGTATAGAAAGCTTATTATTCTTTCATTTTCGAAGTTTTACATGTCTTCATGTTGAAATATAAAGACAGATCACTATGTCTCTCAGAGTTCAAGAGAAGGAACAGTTAAAAAACGAACATCTTTCATGTAGTTTGTCAGAATGCTGTAATGTATTTGTAAAGTATAAAGCGCAACTTCACATGCCATTCTTTTATTTGTCCAAGGATAACAATGAACTTTTAACTTTGAACCGAATTTCTCACAGCAATTAACAGAAACCTTGAGAATTTAGACTGTCTATTAACCCTGGGATGAGACTTACTTTGAATAGATTTCGCATTCATTGATTTTATACTAAGTGTCCAAGAAGGGAAATCACATATTAGTGCTGTATCGATACAAAGAAGTTTCTTCTCTGATAGTATCAGATTGTCAAAGTTTCAGTGAACCCGAAAACCAAAAAGATTTATAGTCAAGAATAACTTTACATCGATAGGTGTAGAGTCTATTTATACCAGCAATTCTTTTCCAAAATAATGTTGTTTGCATAACATAGTCGGAATATTGATGGAATGCACTCATTTGCTTGCGAATTCTCATCTTTAAATTTCTAGTTAATCCTTATATCTCTGGAACAAACGTTTCTTTTTTCCTTTTCAAAGCGTGTGTCAGTGTCTTCAGCCCAAAATATTCAAATACAATCCGTTAATATTTAGGCGCACTTTTGTATAGTTTTACTGTTAGCGCGTAACTTATTTTTGTTAACATCCTAAAAGTTACTGATCATGTTTAAAATGAGAAACATGGAATACTGACGTAAAAGAGCGTCGTTCCAAAAGTAACGATATTTGATCCAGTAGTAACTTCAGAACTGGAACCGGGCCGGCTGGACCAGACAAGACCGGACGAAACCGGGTTTTTGCCAGTTCATAATAGTCAAATTAGTACTAGCATTCCAAAATTTTCTTCAAATAAAACAACTTTTTTCGAGTCGAAACATTATTCAAATGTTGTTGAATATTTAAAATAGAAGAAAAGACAGAAGACATGATAAGAATATTCGTACAAATTCGTGTACATGTACATCTTTGATCGTATTGTAACGGTAGCTGATTTTGATCGTAATTAGACTGTAACATTAATTAGAAAAAGACTAACTAAATTGAAACAAAAATGACAGAAAAATACACAGTCATTTCTTCTCTTTATATTCTCTCCTCAGCTCTCTATGGTATCTTCTTATTTTCTCTACAAAATCATTGTTCGTGTTTAAACCTTATCTTGTGCCCTGAGTACCAGCTAAAAACGAATTTTGTGACTGTGTTCGCATATTATTCGTTATTGGGTTGCATTAGTAATATCAATAATTCATCCGGACAGTCTTCAAGCTAGTCAAATTCAGAGAAACTTACAATCAAAAGAATTCATTTTGATTAAGAAGGAAAAGCTAGTCACGAGTTCTGTGACAACGATATCTCCTTAATCGACCGATCGAATCAATACTGAAGGTGCTGAAGAAGTGTTCGACGGTTGGGCTGGATGTAATCACTGCTTTACAGCAAATCGGGCTCATTCAAAGACGACTGCAGATCAAAACCGTAAGAATTATGGTCTTAGACCGCTATAAAGATGAGCAGATAGATTTAAACGATCTAACTTTTTCATATCAACTTCAAAGTTAAAATACATTTCGGCACGATATGGAGAAGATTTTCCAGCGTCATACTTCTCATACGTTAGAGCCCTCACAATATATGCACGAAAATCGCTTTTCGTCATTATCTTAGAAAACAAGCTATCATGTATTTATTTGGTTTTTGCCGGATTTTTGCCAGTTTGGCGTCGAATATGATCCGGTCGGACCGAGCTGGACAGATTTTCAAACTGGCTGGACCAGGCTGGACAGAAAAAATCCATCCGGTTCCACCTCTGAGTTACTCTAAATTTCATATCCTATCTTCTATTATCCACCATATTCTTCACGGAATTTTGAAGATTTTTCCTCGCATAAATACAATTATAGACAATGTTTATCTTAAGGTTTTTACTTTTGTGCGACTGAAAAAGTCATTCAATCGTTATCAAATCTAATGAGAAATAGGTTTAATGGCTAATAGCAGAGTAATATTAATTATAAGATCAAAAAAGCATTATATGCTAAAATGACGGCTGCGTCAGTACGCTATGTACTATTTTTTTTTCTTAATAGAAAAGAATAACAGAAAAATAAGTCCACCATGGGACAGCCTATGGAAAGTTAACGAAGAATCCTAAGGGGTTTGAAAAAAAATAATGCCTCACTGCAGCGTAAAATAAATTAAGAACTCTTTTTAGTTATGCACTCACGCGAGAATTTATCAAGTTTTAAGGTAACTACTACCATGTTCGTCCAATAACCATGGATCAAATGGAAATTATGTCAAAATAAAGTCTTTACTTCGTACACTCAGAATATGTGTTAACAGTTAGTTTTGATTTGCATTCTCGTTTCTTTTCTATCGTTCCCTTCAAACCTACGAAAACGAAAGAAAATTTTCAAACAATCATACCAAACCTGTTTTGTACATAATTTTTTCATTCACTAGAAAAACAGATAAAATAAAGTATGTTTCCTAGCACAGTAAAGTGTACCCTATAATATGATATTATCAGGTTCTGAAAATATTCAAGTTCTACTTTAATCATTCTGGTTGACCGTTAGCCGGACAAGCCATATTATTTTTGCTTTTTCTACATCTAAAAACATGTAGAAAAAAAAACTACATGTAAAAAATAACCGTATTATAACAATCGACTCTAGAAAAACAACATAATGCGTTAAAAACATGACTTTTATATGAACATGTAATTTTGCAGATAAATATGAAGAACTGAAAGAAAATAAGAAAGCAATAGAGAAATTTCAGTTGTGTAGTCTGAGGAAATTTCTTTTTTTTGTCTAGAATTTTTTCTTTAACATACATTGAACGAATATATAGAAAGAAAAAAATTCCTAAGAAAAATAATGTGAAATAGTTTCAACTTCTGATATTCTTCTTTTTTTTTTGTAACATACATGTACAAATAGGAATTCTTTTATTCTTATTTTTTTCTCAATCTATCGGGAAAATTTCGAGTTAGTTTGACCTGAAAAAAAGCAGTATAGTAAATAATTGAATATTCTCTAATGAAGTTGCTAATATCTAATTATACGTATATAAAGAAACGGTTCTATAAAAATCAATATGAATATAATGAAGATGTTTTCCTTTCATTAATTCTTTTTAATTAGTTTATTTCTATTATTCATGACTCTCTCTCTCTCGCTCTACCTATTAGTCAATAAAAAAACCAAGATTCCAATGTTTTCTATATATATGCACACTCATAATTAGATATTTCATAAGACTAAAAAAAAATTAATTATTTGTAACAGATTGACTACCGTGATCTATTTCTCTTTCCAAGAAAAAAAGAACTTTATTTATTTGTATAGTAATGATTTATAAATTAGAATGACTTAAATTTCAATAGATTTATAGAGCCTCTGAAAATATATCAACTGTACTAAAATCTTTTCTAAAGTCTTTTTTTTTCTGAAGTCCACTAATTCAAATATAAGATCAAAGACAGTTGAAAAACAAAACGTTTTGTTTTTTCAACCATGTATCAGTAAATTGATATTATCTTTGTAGTACCAGACAAAAAAAAACATCTATCAATAGTTATTTTATAATAAATTAACCAATAAAGAAAATCAAAAAGAAAAGAAAACAAAATAAATAATTGTTTTTGATAGCGACACATCCGTTATCAAAAGAAAAATTGGAAATGAGCCAAAACTTGGAACAATGTTGATGTTGCAAAAATTCAAATGAACTTTTCACTTTTTTCTCTCTATACTCTCTCTCCCTCTCTCTTATTTTATCATTTTATTCTCTCCTTTCTCTCTCTTTCAGTCCATCCATTACGTGGAAGTTCAATTGATATTCATCCAAATGCTCGATGGCAACAGAATGGTATCACTGTAGCTGGAGGAAATCGGCAAGGCAATGGAATCAATCAACTCTCTTACCCATGGGGTTTGTATGTTGATGATGATCAAACAATCTATGTTGCTGATCGAGAGAATCACCGTATTGTGGAATGGAAATGGGATGCAACGAGTGGCCAAGTGGTTGCAGGTGGAAATGAACAAGAAAGTGGAGATCATCAATTGTCTTATCCAAGAGATGTGATTGTCGACAAAGAGAGAGATAGTCTCATCGTCTCCGATTATTCGAATAGAAGAGTGGTTCGATGGCCTCGTCGAAATGGAACAAGTGGAGAAATAATCATCTCCAACATCGATTGTTGGGGTTTGACAATGGATGAGAATGGATCTCTCTATGTCGTTGACGCTGAAAATGATGAAGTGAGACGATATCGAAGAGGTGAATCTCAAGGAATAGTGGTTGCAGGTGGCAATGGAAGAGGAAATCGTCTCAATCAATTCTCTTTTCCACGATACGTATTCGTCGATCGAGGTCATTCAGTATATGTGTCTGATGAGGGAAATCATCGTGTGATGAAATGGATGGAAGGTGCAAAACAAGGCATTGTTGTGGCTGGTGGTCAAGGACAAGGAAATGATCTTACACAATTGTCATATCCTCGAGGAGTCGTTGTCGATCAATTGGGCACTGTCTATGTGGCTGATCAATGGAATGATCGAATCATGCGTTGGTCCAAAGGAGCCACACAAGGAAGTGTCATTGTTGGTGGAAACGGTAGTGGAGGACAATCAAACCAACTCAATGCGCCCATCGGTTTGTCATTCGATCGAGATGGCAATCTCTATGTCGTCGATTCGAGAAATCATCGAGTACAAAAATTCAATATCGATTCAAACAAATAAATAAGGTCAAAACATTCATCATAAAGACTTAACTAAAAGACTTCCAATTAAATACTGAAGTAATTAACTTGTTTAATTGTAAACTGTCGGAATCCTTGAATTAAAAATCTAATAAATATCACCCAAAAAAATCACACACACACCCATTTACTACAGAAACCTTGGAAACACATAAAA